GCCGCACTTTGCGCTGAACCCCCCCAAGTCTTAACCAACTGCCTAATCTCTACCACTCACGCAGCTATATAAATTTCCTGCTGCTTCACCCGATCATCATCGAAATCGACCACTGCCCTCAAAGCATCCTCTGTCTGATATTCAAGCTCGCTTTTACCAACTTAGGTTTCCTCGCTGCTCCTTTCCCGATGGCTCGCGTTTCCAAGGTCGCCAGCCTGCTGTGCGTCGGAATCGTCCTGCTCGCTTTCGCCCTCACTCATGCCGACGCCGTTCAGGCTAACTCCGCCGACCTGAGCGGCGAAGGCACGTGCTACCGCGACTTCCAAGGTCGCTTCCGTGATAGTCAGTACTTCGGCATGGTTGCGCAGGTGCCTGCGAGCAAGTTTGACAACAGCAAGGGATGCGGAACGTGCTACGAAGTTTCCTGCACGGGCCGCGCATGCAAGGGCGGCTCCGTGAAAGTGCGAGCGATCGGGCAGGCCGGCGAGAACTTCAACCTCGACACTCCCGCGTGGAACAAACTCGTGGGCGGCCAGGGCGGGCAAGTGGAGGTCACGTACGATCAGGTGGATTGCTCTAGCAGCGGCGGAATGGCGGTCCGACTCCTGCCCGATGCCAGCAAGTACAATTTCGCGCTTCAGATTTTCGGAGCGGCGAGGCGCGGACGAGTGGAGAAGGTGGAGATATCCAAGGACGGGAAAGAGTGGAAGAGCATGACGAACAACGGATGGGGCGCGACGTGGGTGCTGAATCCCGCCACGGGCGTCGTGGATGCGGGGCGCGCGGTGAGCGTGCGCGTGTCGGGCAGCGGGAAGCAGGTGGTGCTGGACGGCGTGATTCCGAGCAAGTGGAGCGGCGGAAAAATCTACCAGAGCAGCAAAAACTTCTAGACGTTGTGGCGAGATGGGTTTGCAGGCGAGGCGCGATGGCTGCTGCTAGTAACGGGATGCTCTGTAACGAGGTGTGGCGCACGCAGAGTGCTTGCGAATAAAGCAGCTACTGTGGCATAGTGGCTTGGCGTGCAAGGCAGTGAATAAAAGCCTGGGCAGCCCTGATGCAGGCGGATCCATGGTCATCATAGGATCCACGGTGATGAGATGCTTGATGCGATGCGATGAGATGAGATGAGATGCGATGCGATGAGATGAGATGCGATGAGATGAGATGAGATGCGATGAGATGAGATGAGATGAGATGAGATGAGATGAGATGCGATGAGATGAGATGAGATGCGATGCGATGCGATGCGATGCAATGAGATGCTGGCAATGATCCCTCACCATTTCAGTGGTCAGTGATGCAGCTGCGTGCTCTCTGTTTCCTTGCAATGTCATATTGTCAATAAAACATTTATTTCCCTTCAAAACCCCAAGGTCCACAGGTTTCAGAGTTGAGAATGATACAGCTTCGTCCGAAAGCAGCAGGATAACTATATAAAAGTTCTCATAACATGTGACAGAACCTCTTCATACAACTGGTACATCATCTCATCCCAACCACAATCAATGTCCGGTATCCGTCCAACTCTTTGGGCTGATGCAGCAGCTCCATTGAATCAGATGTAGCAGCAACCCAGACATATCGGATGCAGCAGCGGTCCAGCCCTATCAGTGGAGTGGATGTAGCAGTAGTGAAACCAGCAGAAGCAGCAGCAGAAGCAGGAGAAACAATCCAGGAGCATGAGATGAGTCGCGTTCACTGTCAGTGGCGATCAGAGGCGGTCGGTCTCAGTGGCAAGGCGCCTGGCCTTGCTCTCCAGCAGCTTTGACTGCCTCTGTGAAGAGCACGTTCATCGCACATTTACATTTGTTGCCTCGCAGGTTGCGAGTAGTGATTTCGCTGATGATGGTTTCCGGAATGCTGCGCGAGCACAGATCTGGGAATTGGCGCGCATGCTTCCGGCGAGTTGCATTGGCTACGAAATTGCGCGCAGGCAGCACACGAAATCTGCCTGCCTATGGTCAACAACAATCTCAGAAGCGGGCAGCTGGTGCCACATTGGCGAACTCACAGATCCCGCGTATAGAGTTAAGGTCTCGATAGATGGTACAAAAAGTCATTGCACAGCTACGCAAGTAATTATTTTAGTATAGTATCAAAGTTCAGAGGAAATTCATCAGTGCCTGCATCACGGAATTTGTGCATGAAAAAAATGTTTTATTGTTACAGATTTCAAGTACAAAATAATTTTAAAAAATTCATAGGATTTTTACGTCTGGTTATGCTATCACAGTGCTCGGTGATTTATTATTTAGAAACAACATGTTTAGGGAGAAACTTGCCACAATATTTACAGTTGCAATATTCCAACCTGGCACACCCTTATGACGAAAACTGGGTTCCTTGCCAGTCATCATTCGTTGGCGACAAACCTGGGGGTCGCTAAGGGCTACGATTGGTCTGTACGTGGATTTTCGTCCTGCCAGCTGTCGCGACCTGCGGTTTTTTCCCTGCCTGCGAATTTTGCCTTTCCTGGTGTCGCATCATGCGATTTTCGCATAACAGGTCGCATTGTACATTACGATATTTCGCGCGACACCGTCGTTGGTGCAGAGCGCCAAGATGATTCGTCCACAGTCGCACTCCCAACCCTTGCGACCTGGACAACACTGTGTGTGGCGACAAACACCACATGCTTGCTCACCTTCTTCCAAAGACTCATCCTCCAACGGCCCTGACTGCAGTAAAAGTTGTGATTGTTAACGTTACGCTGCACTTAGTTTCCTTCAACAGCCATAATTACCGCCCGTTTCAGAGTTCATTGGCAGCGTAATGGCGCCAGTTAGATCACCCGATCTGCCTCTGGTGCCTAGCGATCAGATACAACGAGACGGTGTTTCCATGGCTTGGCCAGCTAAAGAACAGTTTTGTATCCGAATGCTTTTTAAATTTATAGATGCAACTACACATATTCCAGAGCGCTCTTCAAGCCTACGTGCAGACCTTTCGTGGGGCGCCTATTCTCAGCTTAGTGATTGTGTGGAGCTTGTTGGACTTATAATTTATCTTAATCTCCTGGCTTAGTTAGTTTCCAGGTCTATATCAATTCTCAGATTGAACCTGTGCTTCATTGAGCTGCAGTTTTGCCTGCAACGAGAGGCGAGAGAGCTGGTGGCGTTAGCGGTGACATAAGCATCCGAATCTGGAGATTTCATAGGAGGCCTGAAAGGCCTGCATTGAGGGTTCTCAGCTCTACTATATAGTTGGTTTCCATGGCGGCGGACGTAGATATTGTAAGGCATCATGCTGTTCGTGTGCTGTAATAGGTCGTTCACAAGTGGGAGAGCATATGAGAACCATAGAAAGGCTTGCAGAAAACGACCACGTGAGCAGGAGGAGGTGGAAGATTTGATCGCGCATATAAGACGTAGACAGGCGGATCAGAGTGAGCAGAACTCAGGCTCAGCAACAGCACTGCCAGCAGACACGGTGAGGACAGATGTAGCACCCAGGAGCGCTCAGTCAGAGCAAGCAGATGAGATCCCAGAGTTGCCACGGTATGAATTTCCATCTGAGTTACCAGCAGGTGTACCGACGTTTGATATTGACAAAGCGTTTCTGAAGGTCGTCCACAGTTGCAATGGTGGCATGGGTTTGTCTGCTACGGACACCAACAACATTTTAGCACTGTTTTGCAGGCATACAGCGGAGAGGCCCAGCAATACAAATAGAGCAGGCATGGATAAGTATGCCAAGTCATTGCTTGTGCAAATGACAGGAATAGAGGAGTGGGAGTCGGTAGATGTTAGTCACAACAGTAACCACGTCGCTATACTCTATCTAACATCACTCTCCAAGGCAGTAGAGTCGCTATTTTTGGAGCGTAAGAATCATGAGGGATTTGTCCTGTGGGCGAAACCAATTTACACAGCGGACGGAAAGCAGCGTATTTACGCGGGACCAGAGACCGGGAACATGTGGATTGAAACACAAGCGTTACTGCCTAGAGGTGCTATACTGGTGCCCATGATACTATACAGCGATGCGACTAACCTCAGTACTGACGGACGAGTAGTTGGGCATCCGGTGTACATGACGCTGGGTAACATTACAGTCAAGAACAGATGGCAGCCGCATGGCCATATCATGATTGCCATGCTGCCACCCTTGACTGGCGTGGATGCAAAAACCGAAGCGGGGAAGGAGACGCGCCGCGCGGTGTTTCAAAAAGCCATGGATCGCATCATGCAAGACGTCCGAGAGGCTTCTAAAAGGTTGGTAATTTGTACATTTGATCCATTTGCCACCTACTCTTTCCAAAGCAGTAGATTTTCATCCCGTGGCAAAATCAGATGTAATGTCATACGTGTTCCTCTGTTTTTAATCCCTCACCTGCCTACACACTCCAAGAACGTGTTTAGAACGAACAACAACACTCTCTGTCTCATGACCTCCCTTATACTGTACCTATGCTTTCGTTTTACCATCACACACACATTCATGACAAGCCTACCCATCCCACATCCCACCCCTTTCAGTCAACCCCCTCTCCATCACATTCTATCTTGCTTATCACACACATTACACTCCACACAAGAACATCATGCAGATAACCCCCTTCTTCCTCCTACCCCTCGTTCTCTCTCTCTCTTCTACCACTTCTTAACTCATTAGTCCATCAGACACATGCCTTCCCCCTTCTCTCGCATGCTGAATCCGTACACCTTTTCCCTGCCCCACCCCTCGCTTTGTTTGGTACTCCACAAACAGTGGGATCATCATGCGTGACCCATTCGGTGAACGTCATGAGGTCTACCTAGCCTTATATGCCTACGTTGCAGACCAACCGGAGGCATGTAAGGTGGCAGGCACTTTTGCAAGCCACCAAGCGCAATATCCGTGTCACAGGTGTCTAGTGCGAAGAGAGGACATAAGCAACATGGAGATTTCATCCGAGTACCGAGCGGAGGCGGATCAGGCGGAGAAGGTCGAAGAGTTACTTGCAATACCGACACTTACTGCGCGGAATGATGCCGCAAAAGCCATGAGCATCCACCCAGTCAAGGTGAGGGAGGGAGACGAGATGACAGAGATGAGAGTGAGGAGGGATGAGAGAGAGGAAGAAGGTAGGATAGAGTTGAGAGTGAGGAGGGATGAGAGGGAGGAAGAAGGGAGGATATAGATGGGAGTGAGGAGGGATTTACAGGGAGGAAGATGTGAGGACAGAGATGGGAGTGAGGAGGGATGAGGAGGAAGAAGCGAGGACAGAGATGGGAGTGAGGAGGGATGAGAGTGAGGAAGAAGGTAGGACGAGGACTGGAGAGAGAATGGATCAGAGGGAAGAAGGAAGGAGAGAGATGGGAGTGAGGAGGGAAGAGAGGGAGGAAGATTGGAGGAGAGAGATGGCAGTGAGGAGGGAAGAGAAGACGGAAGAAGGGAGGACAGAGATGGGAGTGAGGAGGGAAGCGAGGGAGGAAGAAGGGAGGAAGATTGGTGGAGAGAGATGGGAGTGAGGAGGGAAGAGAAGAAGGAAGAAGGGAGGACAGAGATGGGAGTGAGGAGGGATGAGAGGGAGGGAGATGGGAGGACAGAGATTTACAGCATCTCTTCACTGTCACCCATGCCCTACTCAACCCCTATCCCTTTCAGTTTCCAGGCCAGGTCCCCTCTTCTGATATACCTTTCGCAACCCATCACTTTCCCCTCCCTTTGTTCCTCAACAGGCAGCAATATGGGGGTTGGCCTTGGGCGGAACGGATGTCGGCAACCCGTACAGGGCACTTCTTATCGAGATCATGCATGCTCTTGATCTTGGCATCTTCATGCATATCATCTCCTGCATCAGAGCCATGCTAAAAAAGAGGAAGGAAACACACGTGCTGAGAGAGCTAGATTTGGTCCTGCAAACAATAGCACGTGATACTCGAATCAGTGGTTTCCGGCTACCGGGTGGAGAGAAGGGTGGTTACTTTGCAGGTGCTGCAAAGTTTCAGGCGTTTGAACACCGTGCCATCATGCAAGTGTGCACGATTGTCCTTGCCGGGCGTGTAGATAAAAAAATTGTGGATGTTGTAGCTGCATTTGTCGACCTCTACATGCTGGCCTCCAGGAGGTGGTACCATACGGATAACACCCTCCAAGAACTTGACCAGGCAATCAAAAGGTACTCTGAGTTTATGCCCTGCCTTCTCTCCCAATTGGTTTCTGTTCTCATTCCACTCCGTGCCCACACCTTCCATCCATTTCTGCAATTCCTATCTCTCCCATATCGGTCTTACCTTTCTTTCTCTCTATTATCACATCTCAATCTAATCCCTACCTTGTTCAATCTGATCTCTTCAAAAATCGGAACCTGTCACTATATCTATCTCACCACTTTTCAACCCCATCTGTTTCCTAGATTGTGCCTTGTCTCTGTCCCTCCTTCATCCTCCCTCTCATCCCTCCACTCCCATCTCTCTCCTCCCTTCTTCCTCTCTCTCATCCCTCCACTCCCATCTCTGTCCTCCCTTCTTCCTCTCTCTCATCCCTCCACTCCCATCTCTCTCATCCCTTCTTCCTCTCTCTCATCCCTCCACTCCCATCTCTGTCCTCCCTTCTTCCTCTCTCTCATCCCTCCACTCCCATCTCTGTCCTCCCCTTTTCCTCTCTCTCATCCCTCCAATCCCATCTCTGTCCTCCCTTCTTCCTCTCTCTCATCCCTCCACTCCCATCTCTGTCCTCCCTTCTTCCTCTCTCTCATCCCTCCACTCCCATCTCTCTCCTCCCTTCTTCCTCTCTCTCATCCCTCCACTCCCATCTCTGTCCTCCCTTCTTCCTCTCTCTCATCCCTCCACTCCCATCTCTCTCCTCCCTTCTTCCTCTCTCTCATCCCTCCACTCCCATCTCTCTCCTCCCTTCTTCCTCTCTCTCATCCCTCCACTCCCATCTCTCTCCTCCCTTCTTCCTCTCTCTCATCCCTCCACTCCCATCTCTGTCCTCCCTTCTTCCTCTCTCTCATCCCTCCACTCCCATCTCTGTCCTCCCTTCTTCCTCTCTCTCATCCCTCCACTCCCATCTCTCTCCTCCCTTCTTCCTCTCTCTCATCCCTCCACTCCCATCTCTGTCCTCCCTTCTTCCTCTCTCTCATCCCTCCACTCCCATCTCTGTCCTCTCTGTCCTCGCACCCATCCATGCCCTGCCTTTGTCCTCCCTCTCAACCCTTCTCACTCCCATCTCTCTCCTCCCTTTCTCCTCCCTCTCGTCTCTTGTCAGATTGATTCCAATGTTGAAGGATGTGTTTGGCGAATTTCAAGCATCCGAATTCAACATCGGCAAGGTGCACGGCCTTGTGCATTTGGTCGATGACATTCGACGCTCCGGTGTCCCCGTTCACTACAACGCCAACATGTTCGAGTTTTTTCACCAACCTCTCGTAAAGAGGGCATACCGTGCAAGCAACAAACGTGACGCTATGCCTCAAATCGTGAAGCATAGTGTCATGGCACGAATGCTGCAAGCTCTTGATGACTCAGACCACAACAAGGAGGATTCGCACCATTGAGGCAGCAAGGTTGTCATGAGAGCCGTCCTGCTGAGAACCTATCACATTCTCTGCGCTGACGTTCGTTGTAGTAAATCCAACTACGGTAGCACCATTAGTTACCACGGCTGAATCACTTGCAACCGTTGGAGGACCGCTTGCGGCAGGTGCAGGACTACCAACCAAGGGAGCAGGGTTGACTGGTGTACCTGCCTGAGTAGTTTTCTGTGCTTTGCTTAACTCTCCATGTGCTACTGCTCGCCCGCGTGAACCAGGGTACTCTGTTTCGTAATAACGAAACTTAGCAGGGATGTTCTTCTTCCTCTTGGCACGACCCTCCAGAAACTCACGAGGGAGTTCAGCCATGAGGGGACGAGGATCCGCTGGTGGAGAGAGAGTGGGGACAGCGATGGAAACGAAAGGTCGGGATTGATGGCTGTGGGGCAGTACTATTTTTTTTTTTATAATTACCCCGTCCAAAGCACATAACACCAGGAATAGCTGGAGCACACATGGCATATGGTACAGAGCAGGGAAGTAAAGGCTACCCGTTGGCTTCTACCGTTGTGATTCTTTTTAGGCGGGATACTGTGAGCACAAGCGGTGCGTGAAAGTGTCTGTTAATGTGGCTACTGGCGAATTTGCGACCAAAAGGGCATGGCGCGGTTTCCCCAACGGTACAGAAAGTTGTGTATTTTCTGACTCGGTTTAGCAAAACGGAATGAGGTCGGAATGACGTGGACAGAAGACGTCGGTGTTTCTGGACTTTAGCGAACTGCCGGTCAGATCGGACGGGCAGATACAGCACACGTTTTTTTTTTTTTCGACATCTTTTTTGAGTCGAACAGAAGAATGTTTAGAAGGTTCTGCAGTTCCGCACCGTGCAATCACGCAACAAAATACATTGACCCTGCCCACATTTTGATCGATGCACATACTGTGAAAATGAACGAGAAAGATCAAGTTTAACTAGGGCCTAGGCTTAGGAGCCTAGGCCCAACTAGGATGTCGAGTAGGTTGTGCCAAGGGTGAGAGAGTCGAGAAAGTTGGAAAGGATGGTTTCACTATAGGTTTCGAAGAACATATAGCAAAGGAAACAAAGAAGGTGCACCACCAAACAAGTTTATAATAACTACACTAACTACAGCTACAAGCAGTTACAAATATAAGTTCTGACACTCCCCCATAACTGCCTGCAGCAGGAGTTTGTGCAGACTATAGCCTGCATGGGTACACAAGCAGAATAATAAACAAGCAACAGCAGGTACTGCAGGCGGGCTAATTCTGGCTGGTCACCCCCTCCATCTCCTCACCCTCCTCCTTCCCCTCCCCCACACTGTTGCAGGAGCAGCAGAGAGGGGGAGAAGAGAGGAGAGGTGGAGGGACGGCTGCTGGTTGCCTCACACCCGCCACCCCGGTGCCACTCCCCCTGCTCCCCCACACCCTCACACCCTCCCCCCCAGCGGCAGCTGCAGCAGTGGGAACGAAAGGAGGAGGAGGGGAAGGGAAGTATACGACCCAACAATCCAACACCCGCCACCCCCATACCCTCCCCCCCACGGCTGCAGGGAGACAAAGGAGGAGGGGGTGGGCGGGAAGAAAGCGGCAGAGCGGCTACAATGTGTCGGCGTAGGTAGGTCAGGGGCGGCTGCAGGGAGAGCAGGTGCGGAGAGGCCCGTCGCGTGCCACGGGGCGCACGACGGGCAAGTTTAAGGTAAGGGCACCGTCGTGTGCCTCGGGGCGCACGACGAGCAGGGCACCGTCGCGTGCCACGGGGCGCACGACGGGCAGGTTTAGGGCACCGTCGCGTGCCACGGGGCGCGCGACGGGCAGAAAAGGAGTCACTCGCCAACCGGGGGCGGGACAATACGAAAATCGCCATGCGCCCAAGGCGCGCGACCGAAAAGATAGCAGCGGAAGCATTAGGCGGGCCCACAGGCCAGGACGAAACTTGCTCTGAATCCATGTGAAAATGAACGAGAAAGATCAAGTTTAACTAGGGCCTAGGCTTAGGAGCCTAGGCCCAACTAGGATGTCGAGTAGGTTGTGCCAAGGGTGAGATAGTCGAGAAAGTTGGAAAGGATGGTTTCACTATAGGTTTCGAAGAACATGTAGCAAAGGAAACAAAGAAGGTGCACCACCAAACAAGTTTATAATAACTACATTAACTACAGCTACAAGCAGTTACAAATATAAGTTCTGACACATACATGTCAACAGTCAGAAACATCCAGCTGTCAACGCTGCACATCGATGGTGGGCTCTTTTGTCGCGCAACTAGCCAGCAGGGCAAACCGAGTCGACTTTGCGAAGCACAGAGTCAGAGTGTTGCTACAGTTTCGCGCCTGTTTTTTCGCACAGCGCCTCGGCTAGCCAGCAAGGCAACAGCTCACCGGAAGTCTTGGTGCAGAAATCCAGCCGAAACTGTAATGTACACTGTACCAAGCCCACAGACCAACTGCCAACTTGCTGGCACAAAGAGACAACACGAAAGTGATAGTGCTGCCGAACAGTGCCGCAGTTAACAATCGAGTGAGCTGTGTAAAAAAAAAAAAAAACAATCAAGAAACCGATTTCGTCACCACGACCTAGTTTATCGAGAGTTTAAATTTCAGCGTAAACTTATGATTCGCACCTCGCACGGCATAACATTTCCATTGTTTAGCAAAACAGTGTCGCAGTTACGACATTGAAATCCTCGCAGGTCCGCGTGAGAAAACAAACAGATTTGAATGAACAACAAATGCTCTTCACAGAATGGTTCGCTAAGAATGGGGCTAATTTGGTCCGCATGGGTTTCCTACTGATTATGATGTGAAACAAGTGAACAGGAATGAAATGACTAAGGAAAGATTGGGTACAAATACAACCCTAGAAACCCTGTACCCCATATGTGCTACCCCACTATAGCCTACAGCAACTATGTCATATAAATCTGACACACCCCCATAGGCAAAGTGGGGGAGAACAAGGGGTCACAAGACCAGTCAAGTAAAGCAAAGCAGAGCAAGCTCAGGGTGGATCACAACGTCACCACACAGTCCGAGCACAAGAGCAGGGCCAGAGGCCAGTTCACATGCAGGAGTACAGACATATATATATAAAACTAGACAAGCAAGAGCAGGTATATATATATGTCACAGTACAAGTGAAGTCAAGAGGAGAGCAAGTGAGGCAAGACAGGCACAAGACCCAGCTGGGTGCAAAAGCGCTGATGGTCACAAGGCGCGAGTGCCTTGGTGAACACATCAGCAGTGTTGGCCTCAGAGGCCACGTACGCAAGCCGCAACTGTCCACGCTGC